GTCGCTTTGGGGAGAAATAAGTATAATATAGATAAATAAACAAATAAAGCAAATAAATAAAGAATGGATCGGTCGAAACCGGACGAGAGAATAGAGAAACTGGACATTAAGCTTAACATAAGAACTAGTTATAAATTAGGCTCGTCATGGCTGTTAGGCGACGGGAAAGTCCGCTAAACTTGTGTCTTGTCGCCATGATCATTCGGTGTTTTTGTGCATCCAGTAGTGTCCACGCAACACCCGATATTTTTCGTCCTTTGTTGTTTATATCACAAATGCTGCTGATGGAGAAAAGTTTTATTTTTCTCGTTCAAGAATTGTAAAAACCATCACTTTTTGAACGCAATGCAATCACTGTAGCTGAAAACATTCTGAAAACCGAGAAACATAATAAAGCTGAAATTGGAAAGTCTGAATGAACAAAGTCATTGATACTTCGAAGTTCTTCTATGAAGCAGATGTAAAAGGAAGTCTACTGAAAATTAAAAAAAAAAGCATAAAGCTCGTGCATGCGACCGCGACTGCCAAAATTCAAACAAAAACTGGACAATTGATGCGTTAACACGCAACACAAAGTAAAATGTAGACTTTTATTGAATTAAAAGAAAACAAAATGAAGAAATACTGAAATGAAACACAATGTTAAATGCCAGTTTTTCTTTTCGGACGACATGTGCTATTTGTAGAATATCTTCAGAACTTGTCGAGAAATGTGCAGTTGAAGACGGGAACCGCATCCATTGAGGTAAGCTTCAGTCTATTTTCTAAAACTAGGAATTATTTTTAATGAATAATAAAACAGTTATTGGATTTGTGTAGGTCTTTTAACCGCTGAAATTAAGGAAGGAAGGAAGGATGAAAGGAGATAGTCGTGGATGACAAGACAACAGATGTGCCCCCTACAGCAAAGTGGTGCCGAAATGAACAAGAATATTGCACTCACGTTGGTCATGAGTCATAGTAAGAATATCACTGAAATACTAAGAAATAATGTACAAGGAAAAATCACCCCTCACCTCCATATCATTCTTGTTATTAAGTTGTATAGTTTTCATAAATGCGTTTTGTTTTAATAAAAAATATAGTTTATTAACCCTATGCGTGTCATGTAAGTACGATCTGATACAGAAATGAATTTACTTTTCTTTCTTTCATTTTTTTTGCTTCTGTGGTAACGGCAAGTTTCTGTTATTACTTACAGTTCTACGAAACTTAATCCTAAGCAAGTTCCGCCTTTGGAGCTCAGCCGCATATCGTCTATAAGATATAAACTAAGGACTGTTTAAATCCTTCAGACTCAAATATAAGGACATGTAAGGGTAAATAGAAATCTAGACATTCGAGTTCCAACGAAAGCAGCCACAAACTCACTCGTTCATCCAGTAGAAAAAGGATCAGAATCTTCGCTTTCGGGATAAGTTGAACTATATAATAATAATCCCTCTCACAGAAACATTTTATTGAGAAGATATTTCCTCTACTATTTGCATTAATTTTTGACAGCTATCTTGTGACAGCAAATAAGTTATGAGAAATAACAAATATTATTCTTCCTTGTCTCAGGTTTAGTATATTAATTCATATTCCTGGCATGGTTTTTATCTCCCGGTTAGCTCCGTTGGTTTATTGCCCTTCTGTTAAGCGGAAGTTTTGCAGCGGTTTGAGCCCGCCAGAACGCCAGCTAAGGCCTTTAATTGATAATTCATCTCCGTTTTTAATGCCAGGAAAACGTAATATAACCCACGTTAAAATTGTTCAAAAAGAGCGGGGAAAGTAGACCTCGTTGGTATCTTCAAACTCAATTTTCGATTGGGTTTTAGTGATAAAAAAGCTGGTTTCGGTCCCGAGCTGTGAGTATTAATGAAGATGCTGATGTCTGGCGAAGATGATAAAGTGAACCCTATTGAATAATGTTTACGTTCAAAGTTCGTGGAACAATATCCATCACCGAGAAAATGTTTAAATACAGCCCGTCAACGGAAATCCCTGGGATTTATTTTAGCCACTATCTCTTAATTAGCCTGCGTAGCAGGTGGATGAATTAATTTATGCACAAAAGAAAACGGTGGTGTCGGCCGCGATGGAGGAGGAAGTGCATATGATACCCTGAACGATATTTGTATTTAACCAAGCAGGAAGTGGAATGGAATGACGATATGATAATCACTTACTCGATAAACGCTGAGGATGGAAGTAACGCTCTTGGGTCTGTCGTAGCTTATACATTTCCAAGTATATCCACATAAAGAAGTAAGAAGCCTCACATTTATTAATAAAGGGTGATATAGTTATACAGTCGCAAACTCCCGAGGGAGACATCTGAAAGCACTGGGAATTTATTCCGTTCGGTGACGTCACTATCCGAAAATGATTTTGACTGGATGATTGTCAAAATATACGAGTTATGGTGAGAACGTTTAGCAGGCCTGTCATTTGATATTCAGCTGATCGCATGCTTGCGTGGAATCAGTGTGAAGTTCAAATTTTTGTCAATCTTATCGCAAACAGCAAAATGAGCTTCCAGTTCTTGTTGACATCGAAATTATGACTTAAGAAACTGAGCTGGATTGTTCAAAGCAGGGTTAAGATATCTCAGGATTAGTGAAAAATTTCAACTCAGATATGAAAGCTTAAAAAGCAAATTCAGTTATATTCGTTTTGCCCACAATTTGATGAATTGATGCTCTAAAAAGAATCTAGAAATTTATCCTGAAAAATGCTTTTGAACAACAAAAAAAGAAACCAGTGTTAAAATTTTACCCAGGGTTAGCGCTAATCGGCCTTCGAACAACTGGGCCCTGAATTACAAATGAAGAATCAATGGAGAAAGTCTAGAACCGTTTTGTCATACTGTAACCCTAAAATAAAACGTTCAATTCCATCGCTAACATTTCTGATATGACTTCCTTTCTTCTTCATGCGGGAAAAACAGAAGAAATTGACTAGAGAAATTTTCTACAGATATATGCTGACTTACAACGTTTTGGCCTGTTCAATTAACCTTCTATTATGGTTTGTCAGAACGATGGCGCCAGTTTATCGCTTATTGATAGAAATGTTTGACCAACTGAGAAACAGCAGGCATGATCTCCTTTATTGCTGACCTTGGCTGGCTATTTTAAAACGCCGTCATTTATATATTTTTTCCGGTCTTTTCCTAATAGCCATAAATGAACCAAAATGATCTGAGAGCGTTCTAACCGACTCGGTCGCCGTACGCGTAAAATAAAAATCCAAAAGTTATTTTTCTAGAAATAGTTTACCTAGACCTATATTGTGACAAAGTTTGGGGACTTTCGACTTTTTCATTTTGCACACCCCCACGTGATATTTACGGACGGCCGCTCTTAAAGAGATGTTTGGTGAGGGAGAGTTGACTGCATAGCAAGATTTTCTCATATACAAATTTATTTTCTCGCTTAAATTGTCAGCTTAAGCGAAAAAAAATTGACACACCTTTTTTATAACGATTTTCCAAGTTTCAACCGACGAAGGAATGGGTAAATAAAGTAAACTTGTCGAGTTTTGAACTTGAAAACTTTTTCAAATTTGTGCTTGCGTGATTAGCGCGCGAAATGCAAAACATCTTGACGCCACAACCATGTTTACATACTCTCATGCAAACACTCCTCTCGGCCAATCAGAGCGCGGGCACTATCTTAGTTATTTTATAATAGATAATGGGCAACGACCAATCATAGCGCATGTAGCATTCACATCATTGTATAAACCTACATATATGATCCTATCAGTAATTACAGTAGAGGAGTTTCCCTGAGACGGGGACAGCTTATTATCAAGAAGTACCCCAGGGAATTATATAATCCGATCACAGATCACCCGGGTGTATATTTGATCAAACAAAGTCAATTTTGTAAAGCTTGTTAAAGCTCTCCCGCTCAGAGACCGGGACTTAAAACAAAAAACAGAAACAAACACAAAAACAAATACATAGAAAACCCAAAAAGAAAAGCCAGTTATGAAGCAGTCTTAAATATACTTCTTTACACTATAAACATTCACGGAAATTTCTTTCAAGAAATTCTACTCTATTTGTGTTTGTTTTTTCATTTCTCTAAGTCATAAAGACCACATGAAATGTTGAATATATTTCACAATTAAACACTGATTAAATGAAATTTGACCTTGTTCTATGACACGGTTGTTTCACTTCTTTCCCTTAAAATTCTTGATTCTAGTTCAAGTTTCAGAAATATTTCAATCAGTAATGAAAAATAGAATTCCTTATTACATGAAATTTATCGTCGCTTTGGGGAGAAATAAGTATAATATAGATAAATAAACAAATAGAGCAAATAAATAAAGAATGGATCGGTCGAAATCGGACGAGAGAAGAGAGAAACTGGACATCAGGATTAACATAAGTACTAGTTATAAATTAGGCACGTTATGGCCCCGAGTATGCGTTCATACAAAACGAGTCTTTCGCAGTTAGGCGAAGGGAAAGTCTGCTAAACTTGTGTCTTGTTGCCATAATCATTCGGTGTTCTTCTGCATCCAGTAGTGTCCACGCAACACCCGATATTTTTCGTCCTTTCTTGTTTATATCACAAATGCCGCCGATGGAGAAAAGTTTTATTTTTCTCGTTCAAGAATTGTAAAAACGATCACTTTTTGAACGTAATCCAATCACTGTAGCTAAAATCATTCTGAAAACCGAGAAACATTGTAAAGGTGAAATCAGAAATTCTAAATGAACAAGGTCATTGTCTTTGATACTTTGAAGTGCTTCTATGAACCAGCAGCTCCGTGGCGTGAGCGATGAACATGCTAACTGTAAAAGGAAGTCTACTGAAAAAAAAACATAAAGCTCGTGCATGCGACCGCGACTGTCGAAATTCAAACAAAAACTGGACAATTGATTCGTGGACATTGTACTGTCGCACTTTGTAATAATCGTCGCACTTTGTAATACCTGTCGCACTTTGTAATAAAATTGTCACACTTTGTAATACCTGTCGCACTTTGTAATATTAACA